GAACATACTCTAACATCAACATAAACAGACTTTCTAACACCATCATAACATACTCGAACATCACCATAAACAGACTCTAAAATCACCATAAACAGACACTAACATCATAATAAACAAACTCTCTAACGTCACCATAAACAGACTCTAAAATCACCATAAACAGACACTAACATCATAATAAACAAACTCTCTAACGTCACCATAAACAGATACCCTAACGCCATCATAAACATAATCTAACATCACCATAAACAGACTTTAACATCATCATAAACAGACTCTCTAACGTCATCATAAATGGAATCTCTACCATCATCATAAATAGACGCTCTAACATCATCATAAACAGACTCTCTAATTTCATCATGAACAGACTAGCGTCATCATAAACTGACTCTCTAACGTCATCATAAACAGACGCTCTAATATCACCATAAACAGATGATCTAACATCATCATAAACAGGCTCTAACATCATCTTGAACATACTCTAACATCATCATAAACTGACTCTCTAACATCACCATAAACAGACTCTTTAACATCATCAAAAACAGAATTTCTAACGTCATTATAAACAGACGCTCTAACATCATCATAAACTGACTCTCTAACATCATCATAAGCAGACTCTTTAACATCATCATAAACTGACTCTCTAACATCACCATAAACAGACTCTTTAACATCATCATAAACAGACTCTAACATCATCATAAACAGACACCCTAACGTCACCATGAACAGACTAACATCATCATAAACAGACACCGTAACGTCATCATAAACATATTCTAATGTCATCATAAACATACTCTAACATCATTTAAAAACATATTCTAACGTCATCATAAACATACTCTAACAACATCATAAACAGACTCGAATATCACTATAAACAGACTCCAACATCACCATAAACAGACACCCTAACGTCACCATGAACAGACTAACATCATCGTAAACAGACTCTAACATCATCATAAACAGACACCGTAACGTCATCATAAACATATTCTAACGTCATCATAAACATACTCTAACATCATCATAAACATATTCTAACGTCATCATAAACATAGTCTAACAACATCATAAACAGACTCGAACATCACCATAAACAGACACTAAAATCACCATAAACAGACTCTAACATCATCATAAACAAACTCTCTAACGTCACCATAAACAGATACCCTAACGCCATCATAAACATAATCTAACATCACCATAAACAGACTTTAACATCATCATAAACAGACTCTCTAACGTCATCATAAATGGAATCTCTACCATCATCATAAATAGACGCTGTAACATCATCATAAACAGACTCTCTAACATCATCATAAAAAGACTCGTAATACTCACAACATCGTCTACATCCAAACGTTGACTGACGTACCTAGCGTCCCCGGTAGTAGCACAATTCCTCATTCCTACTCCCGCTGTGACCACATCGGTATCCTAACCACCACCATTTGTATTAAGCCGAATGTGAAATCGGTGATGGGGCTGTTTTGAACATCCTGACCGACAAAGTAAACCCGCTCCCCGCGTTACATGCACTCTGAAGCAGTTCCCTCCGAGCGCGCCGTCAGCAACGCTACCAAAGCTCCATACACCGCCACAGGCTCAAAATCATTATTGATCATAATTCGACAACAAACTTTGCAGGAGACAGAAGTGGTTGAATAGCTCCGCCGGTTGAAGTAGCTCCCTCTGAAGAACCGTTCCTACTCGGGTCCCACCGCGAGAAGACGGGTCACGAGAAGCGCAAGCCATATGAGCAGTTCCGCAGCTTTTGTTCGGGCCAGTCAATGCGCGCCTGGTAGGAACGAAGCCATCGTTTTTCCCCATTCATAGCCCATATCGATTATTCTTGGTAAAGTTCTTTGGTATATTGAAATTTACATGTTGATTGATGGGTCGCAAGTACCGTGGACAGTAGACAGACGAATTTGGCTAGTGTCAGTCACATGACAGCGTCTACGAGACCGAAGGCTTCAGATTCAAAAAGTATTTCCCCCGAATGGGCTCAGAGAGCTAGAGAATGACCTCTCTGTCAGATTCAAAAAGCTTAATAAGTATCCAGGGCTATATATGCCAGCCGTTCTCTGATTCGTACAAGCGTTATGTCCTTCGACACGAACATGTATACGTGTAAGCTGATGTACTTTACTGTCGACGGGAATGAGAAACGGGACGGACGTGAAGATATCATTCGTGTAACATTTATAAGGTGGTGATTGAGTCACGAATGGCGTCGTTATAAGGTCGGGATGAAGTAGTGCACGGTCCACGTTGTTGCAGTAGCCACACGGAAACATCGTCATGCTGCTGCTGCTGCTAGTGTAGCTGCGAGGGATGTATTATCTGTGGTTGAGTGAAGCAAATTGATTTCCTGACTTTAATTAAATTTTTAAAAATTCAACTTTGCATGACTTGATTCTGTTACAGGGATATTTGGCAAAATGCCAGGTGGAGTTTGATTGAGATTTATACAGACTTTTTGTACTGGAAGTGATGGGGAAGATTGGTTGCCTGGACAAATCAGAACTGGCGTTTTGCGTTTAGGAAATACTGCAGCGCTAAGCACTTTGGCACGCGTATTCAGAAAACACCAACGCTTCCTTGTTCACATGTAAAAACGCACACGCACACGCACACGCACACACACATGCACAGGCACATGCACAGGCACAACCGCAAGTAATCTAAAAACGGAGTCCTTAAAAAGTAGTATAAAGAAAAGTCACGCAAATACAATTTCCGACTTCTTAAAACAATCCGTAGTAAGACACCTTAAGTAGGTTTTGTTTATAAGAGTGTGTGATTCGTGAAGATCCGGGGTAGAATAGGTCTTCAGCAACCCATGTTTGCCGTCAAGGAGACTATGCTTGTCGTAAGAGGCGACTAACGGGATCGGGTAGTCAGACTCGCTGACTTGGTTGATGCATGTCAGTGTATCCCAATTGCGTGGATTGATGCACATGATGTCAATCACTGGATTGTCTGGTCCAGACTCGATTATGTACAGACCGTCGTCATATAGCTGAGTGCGGCGTAAAACAACAAACGAACATGTCGTTGGAGGCGACAAAGTGGATTTGATGGTCAGACTCGGTGACTTGGTTGGCGCACATGTCGTTAGGATCCGTGAAGATCCGGGGAAGAATAAGTCTTCAGCAACCAACGTTTGCCATAAAGGCGACTATGCTTGTCGTAAGAGACGACTAACGGGATCGGGTGGTCAGGCCGCTGACTTGGTTGATACATGTCATCGTATTCCAAATGCGTGGATCGATGCACATGATGTCAATCACTCGAGAATAGTCTGGTCCAGAAGCGATTATTTACAGACAGCTGTCATATAGCTGGAATACTGCTGGGTGCGGCGTTAAACAACAACAAAAAACCCGAAATACTTGGAGCCGTTTTATACCTGGAATTAGTGTGTGTACCGATAAACAACGAACGAACGAACAGACTACTTGGCCATGCACACGTGCCCCACGTTGGAAGAACTGCCATGACAGACAGACTTCTTCACAGACTGTAGGCCCATCCTTCTCAGCTCTAGTGTTTTTCACTGTCAGTAGCAACCAGCTCGTTCCTATCTGTCACCACCCTCCATCACCACCCTGAGTTTATTGCCAGCCTCTACACAAGCCAGCTTTCCGTTTTTTTCAAATCAGAACCTCCAGCCACCATTCCTTCCAACACCTCTGAGGATGGCGTCAGGCAGGATCTGTTGTCCTCTAGAGTCTAATAAAACTGTCATGTTCCAACTGCTTCTACACTGGTCCAGTGTTGGTGCATGGAGGCTGTGAATAATCTCCATACAGTTGGATATGATTTAATATTATTCCACGTTGAATACCATCTTGGCTTAGTTCGGCCTCCGTGGTTTAGTGGTAGAGTGTCCGCGGAGAGAGCGGAAGATCCGGTTTTCGATCGCGTCATACCAAAAGACGTTAAAAGAATGTACTTGTTGTTACCCTGCCTGGCGCTCGGCATTAAGGTGATGAACCAAGGACTGGTCGGCTCGGAGTATACTGTGTCTGAGTGGGGTTTTCATGTTAAACGGCGGCATATGGTATCTCAGTGGGCAAGCTATGTAAATCGGCATCAGTCCGGACTAGTACATGCAGCCACTCACATGCATGACCGTCGCTATATAAGTTCAATAATCTTGGACGCGACGTTAAGCCCCATTTCACCTCACCACCTTTGGCAGGAACGTCAACAATGGCATAGCAATGGACACGGGGGCTTGGGCATGAGTGAGTGAGTGAGTCTTTAACGCAGCTTTGATCAACATTTCAGCATTGATGTAGGAAGAAAAGCTAAAGTAATACAGGTCAAAGTAGTATGGGTATGATACTGACAAACCTAGATACATAATCAGAGCGAATCGGGATTCGAACCAAGATCGTAGGTTTCTGGCACGCTAAAGGGAAGCTCTGAACAGCGGATTCAGGACATAGGTTCCTTTTCCCTGTCGGGGGTTCGATCCCCCATAAACTGATTATGACCCTTGCTTTTTGAGCACAATACCTCGAGGGTTTCACCAAAGAGGGAAAAGTCAACGACCTCGGTCCACTTAATCCTACTTTAAACTAGGACACTTAAAAGCGGGTTAGACCAAACTGACTCGCCCTTGGATATATGTAAACTGCGTTTATAACGAACACGCTTATAACGAACTGACGGATATAACGAATTTAGGTTTTGGTCCCGACCATTTGCTGTATATGTGCTGTACTTATGACATATAACGAACTACGGTTGTAACGAACTAAAATAAGGGGTCCATTTTGGGTTCGTTATAACCGTAGTTTACTGTATGTCGAATTATGTAAGAGCACCGAGCTTGTAAAGGCCCCGCTGACGCGGTAAAACATGGGCCCTGGTGGCCGTGTACCCACATCACCTAATATGTCCCGTGGATATTAATGCTCAAGATTAATCAACAGTGTTATTCGCTGTGGACCTCTATGGGCGTTCATTCGTCACGACTACCATCCACATGGGAACGTGTGAAGCCATTTTGTTCTGTCCGACTCAAGGATATTGCTGGAATGCCGCGGAAGGTCGGCGAAGGTTTCACACACTCGCTGTTACGCTGATATTGTTAATGCACAGGTAAATGCAGCGGAATAATGTTTAGATTAATGCAGCGGAATAATGGTCGGGTAAATGCAGCGGATAATTATTTGGTTAACGGTGCGGTTTAATGTAAGGTTATGCAATCGATTAAAATAAGGCCAATAAAATGAATTAATGTAAGGCCAATGTGATGAATTAACGTCTCTCTACCATCGTCGATTTTTAGTTCTAAGAAAACAAAATTAACTGTAAAAAAATCGTTTACTTTTCTTTGTAGCTTTCTATTTTATTCATACCCCAGCACCCGGCATCCTAGCACCTCTACACCCAAGCACCCTGGCACCCCAGCACCCAGCAACCAGCATCCCAACATCCCAGCACCTCTACACCCCAGCACCCCGGCACCCCAGCCTTTCTACACCCCAGCACCCAGCATACCAGAATCTCTACACCCCACAATCTCTACACCCCAGCACCCAGCACCCCAGCATCTCTACACCCAAGCACCCAGCACCCCAGCATCTCTTCACCCCAGAACAGCAACATAACACCTCTACACCCCAGCACCCAGTACCTCTACACCCCAGCACCCCAGTACCTCTACACCCCAGCATCTCTACACCCAAGCACCCAGCACCCCAGCATCTCTTCACCCCAGAACAGCAACATAACACCTCTACACCCCAGCACCCAGCACCTCTACACCCCAGCACCCCAGTACCTCTACACCCCAGCATCTCTACACCCCAGCACCCAGCATCCCAGCACCTCTACACCCCAGCACCCCAGTACCTCTACACCCCAGCACCCCAGCACCCCAGCACCTCTACAACCCAGCAGCCAGTATCCCAGCACCTCTACACCCAAGCACCAAGCACCCCAGCTCCCAGCACCCCAGCACCTCTACACCCCAGCACCTCCACACCCCAGCACCTAGCATCCCAGCATCTCTACACCCCAGCACCCAACACCCAAGCATCTCTACACCCCAGCACCTAGCATCCCAGCACCTCTACACCCCAGCACCCAGCATCCCAGCACCTCTACACCCCAGCACCTCTACATTCTGCACCCAGCATCCTAGCACCTCTACACCCAAGCACCCAGCATCCTAGCACCTCTACACCCCAGCACCTCTACACCCCAGCACCCAGCATCCCAGCACCTCTACAACCCAGCACCCCAGCATCTCTACACCCCAGCAACTAGCATCACAGCACCTCTACACCCCAGCACCCAGCATCCCAGCACCTCTACACCCCAGCACCTCTACACCCCAGCAGCCAGTACCCCAGCACCTCTACACCCCAGCACCAAGCACCCCAGTACCCAGCACCCCAGCACCTCTACAGCCAAACACCTCTACACCCCAGCACCTCCACACCCCAGCACCTAGCATCCCAGCATCTCTACACCCCAGCACCCGGCACCCAAGCATCTCTACACCCCAGCACCTAGCATCACAGCACCTCTACACCCCAGCACCCAGCATCCCAGCACCTCTACACCCCAGCACCTCTACATTCTGCACCCAGCATCCCAGCACCTCTACACCCCAGCACCTCTACACCCCAGCACCCAGCATCCGAGCACCTCTACACCCCAGCACCTCTACACCCCAGCACCTCTACACCCCAGCACCCAGCACCCCTGCACCTCTACACCCTAGCACCCAGCATCCCGGCACCTCTACACCGCAGCACCCCGGCACCCCAGCATCTCTACACCCCAGCACCCAGCACCCCAGCACCCCAGCACCTCTACACCCCAGTACCCCATCATCTCTACACCCCAGGACCCAGCACCCAAGCACCCAGCATCCCAGCACCTCTACACCCCAGCACCCAGCACCCAGCACCCAGCACCCAGCACCCCAGCACCCCAGCACCTCTACACCCCAGCACCCAGCACCCCAGCACCTCTACACCCCAGTACTAAGCACCCCAGCACCTCTACACCCCAGCACCCAGCACCCCAGCACCTCTACACCCCAGTACTAAGCACCCCAGCACCTCTACACCCCAGCACCCAGCACCCCAGCACCTCTACACCCCAGCACCCCAGCATCTCTACACCCCATCACCCAGCACCCCAGCACCCAGCATCCCGGCACCTCTACATCCCAGCACCTCTACACCCCAGCACCCAGCACCCAGCACCCCAGCACCCAGCATCCAGCATCCCGGCACCTCTACATCCCAGCACCTCTACACCCCAGCACCCAGCACCTCTACACCCCAGCACCCAGCACCCCAGCACCCCAGCACCCCAGCACCTCTACACCCCAGCACCCAGCACCCCAGCACCTCTACACCCATGCACCAAGCACCCAAGCACCTCTACACCCCAGCACCCAGCATCCCAGCACCTCTACACCCCACAGCCCGGCACCCCAGCATCTCTACACCCATGCACCAAGCACCCAAGCACCTCTACACCCCAGCACCCAGCATCCCAGCACCTCTACACCCCAGCACCCAGCACCCCAGCACCTCTACACCCCAGCACCCAGCATCCCAGCACCTCTACACCCCAGCACCCAGCATCCTGGCACCTCTACACCCCAGCAACTCTACACCCCAGCACCCAGCATCCCATCATCTCTTCGACCCAGCACCCACCATCCCAGCATATCTACACCCCAGCAACTCTACACCCCAGCACCCAGCATCCCAGCATCTCTTCACCCCAGCACCCAGCATCCCAGCATCTCTACACCCCAGCACCTCTACACCCGAGCACCCAGCATCCCAGCGCCTCTACATCCCAGCATCTCTACACCCCAGCACCCAACAGCCCTGCACCTCTACACCCCAGCATCTCTACACCCCAGCATCTCTACACCCAGCACCCAGCACATCTACACCCCAGCACCCCAGTACTCTATGCTTCCCTCAAGGACTGACTTAATGTGTGTAGGGTGATTAAACTGTTTGACGTGGCTAATTGTTGATTATAGCTCAAACTATCAACGTTATCAACCACTTTACCAAGTTCTTGCTCGACTATTTACAGTCCTTAGTCATATAATCTGAATATTTCTGACTGTGACGTAAAACAACATTCCACAAAGGCTTACATCTCAGTTAAGTGACCACATTTTCAATTCATCTTGTCCGGAATTATCTTTTGATCTTAATCGATGAAGATCGACATATTTCTTGATAAAACTATTAAGCAAAACTTATTGAAATGTGGCAAGAATATTAAATGAGCTTCGTATCAGCTATAAATTTGTTCCATTACGCACGCAAGGCAAATCTACGGAAGTGGATATGTGACAAAATTGCGTTATGCTATATGTCGCTTTCACAATTCCATATTGCATTTAATTGCCCTTATACAATATGGTATGTTACACATTGCATAACCGACATTCGAAACTACATCTTTCATCTTAATAAATGCAATAATACTTGGTGCACAATTGTCCTTTTCTTGCTAAAGATCTACTTCTATGTTACTAAAGTGCTATCATGGATGATGTGATCTTTAATATTAATTAACTACTGTAAATGATCATTCATAGCATTTCACACTGTCTCTGCATTCCACACATAATTCTTTGTTTCGTCTTCACGAATTTATGACGTTGATGCGAAGTTCAACTGAATTATTATAGCTCTGCTATTCTCCCTTTTGGCAAAATGCAAAATAGAATCATAAAGTATCATGTCGCATTTTGGCACAGATGCCTTTCCATACACGTCAACCATTGATCAGACGCAGTTTCGTAAATCGGTAAGGTGGTGTGAGGTTGGACATGAGTGCTGCTTATACCCCGTCAGCCTGGGACACAGTCCCGCGCGATGGAGGTACATTACTCGTCTCGCAAATATCGTTAAATGTAAAGTACTGACAATGATTGAGGAGGCAATTAGTAATTGATTGCCAGTGACCCCATTTGGAGTGCTGGGATGTTTCTATTAATGTACCTGAGAACCTCTGTGGATATCATTCTAATAATTATTATATTGGTGTCGAGGCGTTATGTTTTAATGGGAAGTTTACACGATGTACGTTTGTTTTTTTTATTGGAAGAGAGGCTGGTCACATGACGCGAAACTGACGCTCATAAGCGTCTGAACGACAAAATTTGACGTTCATACGTTCTTTACGAGACGGTATCCATGAAATGACGTAAGCACGGATTACTTCCACGTTCCTGGGAAACCCCTGGGAATTCCCTAGCATGAGTAAATACATAGCTTTGGTTTAACAAATGGTGATCATTCACACACTTTAACATTGCATACATTGGAAAAAGCTCCGACGTTCATACATTTGACCTTCACTATTCAAATTCAGACCAGACCCTCGATATTCATATTCCATTGTGTTCTCACAAAGTGAAAGTCGATTCCCAAACGGTGCAACTCAGGCGACTGTGGATATTAACAATGGATCGTTCCCCTTTCTGATAATCTAAGTATAAATGTGCAGTGGTCGTGAGTGACAGACACAAGCTCGGGATAATCGGCAACACGTTTTGCAGACACACGCGAGTTCGAATCGGCTTGGTGGTGATCTTTGCTTAGTTAATAATGCTATTCCAGAGCTGTGTTGGCTGAGATGATCAAGGCATTCAACGCGCGTCCCACTTGTCCTATTAAGCCCCCGTCTCCAGTCAGAGACGTGATGTGACTGAAATTCCCATACACCGCGTTACTCACTTGCCACAGATTAGCGTCATCATGGATGAAGTGTTTATCTCGTTCATCTGGAAACATTTCCTCCTGGCTTCTGTTTCCTCATCATCTGCTACAGTGTGTCTTCATTGTTCCAGTGTGTGATGTCCCGTACATACATCCCGTGTTATATAACATGCATAACAGAACAGATATACCAGTCGTGTCCTATGTGACGTACAGTGACCTATCTATGTGACGTACGGTGACCTATCTATGTGACGTACAGTGACTTATCTATGTGACGCACAGTGACTTATCTATGTGACGCACAGTGACCTATCTATGTCACGTACAGTGACCTATCCTTGTGACGTACAGTGATCTATCTATGTGACGTATAGTGACTTATCTATGTGACGTACAGTGACCTATCTATGTGACGTACCGTGACATATCTATGTGACGTACCGTGACCTATCTATGTGACGTACAGAGACCTATCTATGTGACGTACAGTGCCTTATCTATGTGACATACATTGACCTATCTATGTGACATACATTGACCTATCTATGTGACGTAAAGTGACTTATCTATGTGACGTACAGTGACTTATCTATGTGACGTACAGTAAACTATCAATGTGACGTACAATGACCTACCTATGTTGTTGTTTGGCGCCGCCGCAAACGATGTCTCTGCTTCATGGCGGCGGCTTGTAAGTATTTGAGTCTGACTTAGAAAAACAAATTATTTATATCATGAACAACTTCACACACAGTGGGATACGATGACACGCAATCACCCAAGACAACGAGCCTCACCTTCCGATCTCTTAATTCTCCTCGCACGGTAGCATAGATTAACAGGGAGCTATGTTAACAAGGTATCGCCACTGGTGAAATACATCATGTGACAAACAGTGTCTTCTACAATATTATATGTCCTGTAGCTCCTGATCCTACTGATAACATCACGTATCACCAGTTTACATTACACACATACAAACCAATGTTTGTTTGTTTGTTTGTTTGTTTGTTGTTTAACGCCGCACTTAGCAATATTCCACCTATGTGACGGCAGTCTGTAAATAATCACGTCTGAACCAGACCATCCAGTGATTGACATTATGAGCAATTGGGATCGATGACATGCATCAACCAAGTCAGCGAGCCTGACCACCCGTTCCCGTTTGTCGCCTCTTACGACAAGCAGACGCCTTTTACGGCAAGCATGGGTTGCTGAAGACCTCTTCTACTCCGGATCTTCACGGGCTAAAAACTAATGGCTTCCCGAACATGCAGTCTCACGGACAATAGAAAGCAGACACCCAGGTTTGAGTGCGTGATTCAAAGTTGTGTTTTGGGCCTTACGTTTGCTGCGTTTCGGCGACTGTTTTCAGCCTTATAACGTTTTTGATAACGTTTGTATTTTTTTGTAATCCGTATCCAATTTTCAAATGCATACTTTCTATCACTTTATATTAAATATGGATTGTTAAATGTTCGGCTTCTTTCTATTTCAAAGGATATGTACTTATGTTTAGAAAATATGCGATGTCAACGCCAGAAAATAATCGGTCTCGATTATCCGCCCAAACAGATTCCATTGGGCGCCAAAGGCAAAATGGCGGTGGATGTTGTATCAATAGATCAATAAATATCAATGACACCAGGTGTTCGCTGTAAAAAAAATATCACAACGTAATAACATTAATGTTAATGTTCTTAACTTTTTTTTAAATCGACATAAAATATCCCCCCTAATGCGTTCAAAACATTAACAAAAGCTGTTTTAAACCAAGTTGTGTCTATCTAAGCCAAGCTGAATCCAATTCTCCATAAGGCGCTGCAAGGACACCAAGAGGATGTATTCCATTTCGTCGTAGGTGGCACGACGTCCCCGTAACGTTCCGAATGTAAATAATAATTATATTGTTGAAGATATTTATACACCCGGCCGTTTCATTGGGCCATGGCATATAAAGAAACGGGGCGAAAGAAACGTCACCACAAAATGAATAATAGTTGGGAACACATACGAAGGCAACTAACCTATTCCCGGTCATCATGTGTACATGCTTTACGTGATTTGCGAGAAAAGTGAATTTATCACTAAAAAATGCAAAAATGTGTACAAAGTCACCCGTATGAAATTCTAGTATAAAACATGAGCAGGATTGTACTCCCTCATCACATGAATCGTTTAAACAACGAACATGCCTCGATTAACCGCAGAGCAGAGGGAGAGAGTCATCGGTATGTTGCAAATGGGAGAGACCCAGGATTATGGGCTGCTTCAAGTGCACCATCGCAAGACTTGTCACACGTTGCTACACGACTCCGCCTGTATGGTCTCCGTGCCTATTGACCTTTTCAAGGGCAAGGCGTTAACGTTTCTACATCGACGTCACAGACTGGGATGGGCCAGGACTGTACAGCAGTGGCAGCAAAGAAATTGGCGAAGAGTACTCTTCAGCAGCGAGAGTAGTTCCAGCTTTTCAAGTCTGATGGTCGGGTTCGAATCTACCGACGACGTGGTGAACGGACCGCACGTTGTTGCGTCCAAGAAGTGAAGCCTTATGGAGGTGGTAGTGTCATGGTCTGGGGTGGCATCTGCGGGGACCAGAAGACAGAAATGGTCATCATCGACGGAAATCTCACTGCACGTCGTTACATTGATGGTATTTTGCGGCCTGTGGTATTGCCTTTCCTGCAACGACACCCACGGACGCTGTTTCAGCAAGACCACGTCACCCCTCACACAGCTTGAGTCACCAGCGACTTTCTGAACGCCAACAACGTGACCGTATGACAGTGGCTAGCCAGACTACAGGACCTGTCGCCCATAGAGTTCCTTTGGCACCAACTTGGACGTAGTATTCAACAGCTGCCATTGACGAGGGATGCCTTGGCAATTGCCTTACAGGAAGAATGGCGTAGGATCCCACTCAGGATATCAGGAGACTCGTGTACACAGTTCGACGTCGTGTTAGGGCCTGCATCGTTGCTGGAGGGGGTCACATCTGATACTGAGCTCTGTGTGTAGCACGGGACTTTCAAAGAGATCGACGTCGATTCTGCGGGTGTGATCGAATACTGGACAGTACACCCAGCATGATAAACGTGTCTACAGAACTTTAAGTACACTTTTTTTTTATCTTTTCGTTTTCAAATACCTTTTTGGAATAATTGGGTTTTTTTAATAATAAAACACCAACTGTTACTTAATTTTGCGTCTAGTTTGTTTTAGACCAGAAAATTGTTTGGTGGCATATCT